ACACACACACACACACACACACACACACACACACACACACACACACACCCCTGAGAAGGGAAGAGGGGGTGGGACGGAGGAGAACTGCAGGTGGTCGAGGGAGAACAGGAGCAAGGTTCGTGTTAGGAGAACCCTAGTCCAAATTGTCCCTCCAACGCTGAGCATCTGTGTGCGCCACCTCCCTTTGAATGTTTCCTCGTCCGTGGAGTGGGCCTAAAAATAAATTCCGCGGAAGGTGGTCGGAACACAAGCTGCTAACGTTCGTGTTAACAGCGAGTGGAGTAAGGCCACGGAATCTAAGACTTAGAACACACCAAATAGCCTTAAAGGGGGGAAAGGGCTCCTGAAATGTGCACCTGGAGGAGCCCAAGGCACGCGCCCGCCCTCCGGATCCCACCCTGCCAGGGAAAGCCGAAAGGTGCGCGTCGGACGGGAGCGCGCAAAGACCAAGCACCTGTGCGCGCAGGTGGGGTTGGCGCGCGGGGGCAGCGGCGCGGCGCCAGCCGCCCGCGGAGCCACCCGGGCAGAGAGAGGGGCGCCGCGACCCACCTGAAGACGCGCAGCAGCAGGCAGGCGACGAGCAGAGCGCTGAAGGCGCACGCCACGATCACCGTCGCCTTCAGGGTGGGCAGGTCGCGAAGCAGGCTGGAGATGCGGGTCACCACCGCGTCGCCGCTGCTGTTGGATCCTCCCCCGGCCGCCACCGCCACTGCCGATTCCAGCCGGGTGGCATTCCCCGGGCTGGGCGGAGGCTGGGGGTCCGCTTCGGGCTGTGAGGCCGGGGCGGACTCGGCTCTGCGAGCGAGCACGGCGGGCGCGGCCAGGAGGACGAGCAGCAGGAGCAGGGGCGGCGGGGGCGGCGGCGTGCTCATGGTGCGCGGCGCGCACGGTGCGGACGCCTGCGTCCCGGAGGCCTGAGCCCCGGAGGCTTGCACCCCGGAGGCCTGCGCCCGGGCTTCCCGCGGCCGAGGCGGCTGCGCGACGCTCGGCAGGAAACTGCAGAGCCCGGAAGAACCCGCGCCGCCGCCGCTGCCGCCGCCGCCGCCGCCACCAACACGTTGCACCGAGTCATTCGACGGGCTTCGGCCCCGCGTGGGCGGGGCAGACCTCCGCCGGGTCCCCGCTGCGCTCCGCCCCTGGGTGGCCCCGGGCCGATCAGGACCTGAGACCCCCACGGAAGAATCCGAACTGCTCGGTTCACTCTGGCGGGAGGTAGGCTGACCGACTCACGCGATTTATCTCGTTCAGTCAGTCCAGCCCCCCCTGGAAACAGGTATTCTCTTGCCCTTGTTTGTTGATTTAGCGCGCACCCAGCTCGCAGCAACCCAGATTTCGCACCTGGAGTTTGCAAGCGCTTTGCAGTTCCGCTGGTGAACTAGTTTTCTGCGTTTCCACCCTTGGGAAATATTAACACGTTCTCCAGACCAGCCTGAAGTTACAGCCTCCAAGGAGTGATCGTCCTGCTATTTCTGGTATATAAACTAAATGATGCTGCTGTGGAAAAGAAGAAAGAAAAAAAGGAAAAAAAAAAAAAGTTAGCTATGGACATTCTGCCGGGAGCAGAACTCAGCACTGTGTCAGTTCCTGGGGCAACAGTTACAGACCCCAGGATGATCTGGAAGGCGCTCCCCAGTGATACCTAAACATAGAGAATAAGTAGATATCTAAATAAGAACCAAGAGACTTTGAACAGCTCATTTCTGGTCCTGCTAGAGAGACAAACACAACGATGCATTCATTTTGTCTATAGCTGCATAGCCAAACCTCCATAATAAATTACCCCCAAAACTTGACAAATCCCAACAACCACATATGTTATCTCTGACCCAGCCTTTCTGGGTTTTCAGGTTTCAAGCTGGCTTGTTAAATTTACGTTCGAACTAACACCTCTCCCCTCCAGATCTCCTCCAAAGGTTCTCCTGGGGGAGGACCTGTCTCGGGCTCAATTGACTTCTCCTGGCTGATTGAGCTCCTCACTGCCTATGAGACCAGAGACTCCATTCCCAGCCATCTGTCTGTCAGAAGCTGTCCTGAGTTATCTCAACGGAGACTTTCTAACAGAGCTTTTTGCATCTTCAAAGCGTTCAAGCCCACTTAGCAATAAAGTCAGCCAGCAAGGCAAAAGATGGCTCTATAAAACGTAATCGCAGATGAGGCATCCTACATTTTTTCCTGAACCAGTTGGCTAGAAGCATGCCACCGCTCTCATTCACACTCCAGGAGACTGCACAGTGGTGTAAGTAACAGGAAGCCAGGAGCATCGGGGCCACCTAACAGCTGTCTGCCATACACAGTGTGATGAATTTTTATGAAGGGGGGGAGCAACATTGAGATCCCCAGAAGTCATTGCCCACCAAGCACTATGTGTAATGGGTGTGAGCAAGTGTGCTACAGGGATGAGAGATAAAGATTGTGTGTGTGATGGCACCCACCTTTAATCCCAGCACTGAGGAGGCAGAGGCAGGCAGGTGTCCAAGTGTTCGATATCATCCTGCTCTATATACTGAGCAGACAGCCAGAGGCACACAGTGAGACCCACGCCCAAGAGAAGAATGAGGGGAAAAAAGTAATCTGGTTAAGGTCTTCCACCTCTAAACTACCAATGATGGGGAATCTTTTTTTTTTTTTTTCATGTCAGAATATACACAGAAATTCCCTAAGATCTGGCGGTAAGGTCCCTAATTCCCCAGCCTCTCTTAAACAAGCCTCAGAAGCTGCTGCCTTGTAATTTGTTAGTTAGAGGAAAGTGCCTGTGTAGTAGAACAAAAACGTTCCCAAGTTAAAACCTCTCAAGCAGGATGGAAGTTGACCACTGGGTGGCCTTGGCCAGTAAGGATTTTAACGGGTTGCTAGCAGGTTTTTAATATCTAAACTAAGGGTAATAGTCCCAAGCATAATCAGGTCACTGAGAACATCCAAATGGAGTGGCAGTGGACCTTGGTCCAATTGCTAGCACCCACATATGGTGGCTCACAACTAACCCTAGTTCCAGGTGCTCCAGTGCCCTCTTGTGGCTTCCCCAGGCACTGCATACAGGTGGTACACATACAGAGAGGCAGGCACACAAACACACACACACACACACACACACACACACGAGTGAAAATAAATATTAGCATGGTCTCCTTCGGCCACAATTTATGAGCTGTAGACGTGATAATTTCATACTGACTTAACTAACACCAAGACTATAGAAAGCATAAATGTTAAACTATTTTAGTAAGGTGAAACTTTAGAATCTTTCATTCTTTTTAATTAAGGCCCCCATATTAGAGCCCCTAAAGAATTTTGATTCAACTAGCTGTGAACACTGGGCTTTTTAACATGGAAAATTGGTAACAGGCAACAATGGTCAACTCTAGTTGAGGTCAGAACAAGGGTTAATGGACACAGGTTAGGCTGCCTCCAGGATTCAATCCACTAGAAGCATGGTCTGTGGACCACTGGGCTCCCTGGCACCCTTTCAGGGAAACTTCAGATTGAGAAATAATCCTAGAATGATGCTGAGATGGGACTTTCCTTTTCCCTGAGTTGGCAGTTGTGCCGGTGTCACCAAAGGTGACAGCAAGACTCAAGGCAAGTCCTGCTTATGCCAGGGGTCATCCCCAAAGCCGTACTCTGTGCAGACTCTGATACAGAGCCAACCTCACTGCAGAATCCCCTTGACTCTGGAGAGCAGGGCATGTTGTCATTGTATGCGATAAGACAGGAAGAATTGATAGATCACTTCTGTTTCCACGCTGAGACCTGGCAGTGGACTTGAGGAAAAGCAAGTGTGCAATTCTTGGAGCTGCAAACCAAATGGCCACCCCCCCCCCTCCTTTGGAACAGCATTTGTCACCAAAGAGTGACTGACAGGCCTCAGAGTGGGTCTTTGGCAGGCACTCTCTCAAAAATGAACAAAATGAGCCTATCACTTCAAGGACGTCAGCTGATAGATCCAAGACTTCAAGTGGAACACTAGAAAGTTTTTAAAATCTGTCCATTAGGATGCTTTATGTCATGAGTTTAACAGTCGCACAGTGCCTCAAAACTTTTCTGAGGAGTGTGAAAGTTTTTAGAAGTGTAAATCTCCCCTTACTCCATCCCTGCCTCCTTCCCTTCTCCCTCCCCTCCCCCCCGATTGGACAAATCTCTATGTAGCACAGACTGGCTTCAAACTTCCAACTTCCCCACCCGTATCTCCTAAGGGTTAGGACTACAGTTGTGTACCACTGAGCCTGAATTCTCTTATGTTTTACATATTTTTCAGTTTTTGGATTTTAATTTTTTTTGTCTTTGAGTGCTTTAGTTGCATATATGTACATGCACCGTGTACTTGCTTGGTACCCCAGGAGGGCAGAAGACGGTGTTGTATAACCTGGAAATGGCGTAAACCACCGTGTGGATTCGGGAAAATGAACTCAGATCCACTGCAAGAGCAACAAGTGCTCTTAACTGCTGAGCTATCACTCTAGTTCCTTTGGGATAGTTTATAGTTTATAATTCTATTGTGAGGAACCAAATTACAAGACTGTGGCATCCAAAGTTTATGCTTTGGAGGTTGTGAAATCGTGGACTTCTTATAATGAAATACATCAAAATTTGGAAGCTCTGCTTAAATCTAATTTAAGCGAACTAATTTTTTTCTGAGAGGCAGACGATGCACATAGCTAGGGATTACTTGTGAATGAAGGTCCATTGGGAGTGAAAAACAGACCAGTACGGATGTGCTTAGAAAGGAACCAGGCTTTTATAAGCATGCTCAGAAAGTGCTCTGCAACTGATCACTCCCAGCCCAGACCAATGGTGTCTCAGTTACTGTTCTGTTGCTGTGAAGAGGAAGCATGCCCAAAGCAACTTATAGAAGAAAGAATATAATTGTGGGCCTGGTTACAGTTTCATGGTGTTAGTTTGTAATCATCGTAGTAGGGAGCAGTGTGGCAGGCAGGCATGGCACTGGAACAGTAGCTGAGAGCTTGTTTCTGATCCAGAGATGGCGAGCGGCCGGCCTGGCATAGGCCTTTGAAACCTCAAAGCCCCAGTGACATACCTCTAACAAGGCCACACCTACTTCAAGAATTCCTAAACAGTCTCCCAGCCAAACGTTAAATATATGAGCCTATGGGTGCCAGCCTCATCCAAATTACCGAAAATCAGTCCTCAAATCCTCCAGTGGAAGGAGGGAATCAACTCCCAAAAGTTGTTCTCTGCCCTTTGCATGCATGTTGTAGCATGCGCGCGCGCACACACACACACACACACACACACACACACAGAACCATGAGAAAGAGACTAATATTTTTTTTTAAATCCTTGTAACAAATTTCATTGCATATATGTACCATATTTTCTTTATCCCTTCATCAGTTGCTGTTCAAGCTGGTCCCAGTTCCTACTTTTATTAATAGCATAGCAGTGAACGTGGGTGTTAGAGGGCAATAAAACTAGAGTCCTTTGGGTCTGTGCCCACTAGTGGTATAGCTGGGTCATATGACAGTTTTATTTTTAGGTTTGGATGTGATTGTTGTTGGTTTTGATTTGGGGTTTGACTTGGTGTTGTTTGAGAAACCTCCATGCTGATTTCCATAGTGAATACACAAGATTACACTCCCACCAGCTATGAACAAGGGTTCCTCTTTCTCTATATCCTCAACACTGTTTCTTATCACTTGCTTGCTTTTTATTTTCATTTGTTTATTTAGTCACCTTACAGCCTGACCTCAGCCCCCTCCCTCCTCTCCTCTTAGTCCCACCCTCACAAACCCCTCCCCCCCATTCTCCCTTCCCCTTCTCCACAGGGAAGGGAAGACCCCCCCCATGGGTACCAACCCACCCTGGCACATCAAGTCACAGCAGGACTAAGTGCATCATCTCCCACTGAGGCCAGAAGAGTAGCCCAGCTATGGGAAAGGGATCCAAAGGCAGGCAACAGAGTCAGAGACAGCCCCTGTTCCCCTTGTTAGGGGACCCACGTGATGACTAAGCTGTACATTCGCTACCTGTATGTAAAGGATCTAGGTCCAGCCCATGCATGCTGTTTGGTTAGTGGTTCAGTCTCTGTGAGCCCCCATGGGCCCAGGTCAGTTGACTCTGCAAGTCTTCTTGTGGAGTCCTTGACCCCTCCAGCTCCTTCAATCCTTCCTCCCTCTCTTCCTCAAGACTCCCCAAGCTCTACCTGT